AAAAAAAAAAAAAAAAAAAAAAAAAAAAAAAAAAAAAAAAAAAAAAAGTGTTGGGATATCAGTACAAGGAAAGGTTTAAAGATGCATTAGTGGATTACATTCAACACTTCTGTGATTGCCACTTATTTAAAAATAATTCTTAAGTATACTATTAAACATGAGTAACCTTTCTTAGGACTAGAACTAAAAGTCAGAGTCTCACTTGTGTAGTATCTTCCTGTCTACTGGTTAAATTCTAAACAAGTTACTTTCAACCTTAAGAATTCATAGACATTTATTAGTTATTTTGTGGAGGCTGATATAGTTAATACACATTGAGATACTTGTAACTTTACTATTTAGTGTCACTCAAAAAGATACTTGTGTCTCATCTATTTTCAGCATTTAAAAAAAAAGAGTTTCAAGTTTACATAACCTGTAAGCACACAAGAAAGTCAAATACAAGTTTTACCCTGTGTGGTGAGAAGAACTCTTTCTGCATTGTTTGGTAAACCAAGCCAGGATGGGGTTTGTGTATCTGGCAGCAACTCAACCCATTGGACAAATTCTTCATGTCTGCAAGTGAAAGTTGTGGCAGTAAATTGAACTAAGTTAATTAACCATAATCTCACACATTTTATTAGGTTACCAGGAATACACTGCCTGGCTAAATACCAATGCAAAAAGTACAACTTAGAGTCCAGCTTCTCAGAAGGAAAGCAGCTACTAAGGTGAGACCAACCGAAATTTGAGGCTGAAAAAATACCTGATTCCATCTGGTATTTGAATATCCTTATGTCCATCAACCTTGCAAGCCAGTTTGAATTCACTATCAAAGCTCAAAGTGGTAAACAAACGCTCCAGGAAAGTGTTTAGCAGACGCTGATCAAATTCATTATCAATGCGACCTCCATAAATGGACTGTGCCATCAATGTCTTCAGAGCAGACCATGGGATCTTATCAGGTGAAATGTTTTGGCGGCCCTGACAGTAAAGACAATTTAATTAGAATGTGAAGATTCCCCATAAAAATAGGGAAATCGAGTTTGGACAGTTTAATGAAAGCCGAAATCAAACAGTTTGATATTTAGTCAGGATGAGCTCTACCCTGACATCTGGTGGTGAGCCATGGAAAAGGACTTTAGGAGCTGAACCCGTTTGCATGGGCACACCCACCCTGCCTAACATGAAGGATTGCCTGCCCAAATGGTCACTTTGGCTACTGTGGGATCCCCAGTTTCTCTGTTATTGGGGCAGGAAGAATCAAGTGTTGTTACCCTGATTATGTGAATCAAGGACAGTGGAACTGTTTTATGACAGAGGGACTCGCCATCAACTAAGTAGCACTCGCTAGACAAGGGACCTGGGTTTCAAAACCCAGTGAATTGAGAGAGGCTAGGGACAGGCATATGTGTCTGGTGGTGTGGGCCCCCTTTGAGGGCCTGAAACACCAACTGCACCCCCCCCCCCCACTGTGAAATATCAGAGCTAATTTTGATTCCATTAGGATGTCTAGTTATAGGCTGCTGAGCTGAATTCACTTTGGGCCAATGATGCACCAGCACTGAGGCTCCCCTACTATAAGCTGAAATCACTAAAGAGCTAAAATGACTAAGAGCTGAAATCACGGAGTGCTGTGTTAAGTGGTGGGGTGGGGGGGCTGAAGATATATTGCTGAGTGGCTGGCGGAGCAGAGCAGTTTGTGAGACAGTTGGAATGGCTCACGGGATGGCTGGCGGAGCGGAGCAGTTCGCGGGATGGCTGGAGCTGCGTGGCTGGCGGACTGGCTCGCGGTGAAGGCTGCAGCAGAACCCCACGGAGAGGTGGGGCAGTCGGCCTCGGACCACGTAAGGTGCCCCTTAATACCCCCACTCACCCATTTCCACCCAGGCTGGGAGGTAAAACTCTACAGATAAACTTTTGAACTCTGGGGCTGCACTGACCAGGGACAGGGATTTTTGGGTTGCTGGACTTAAGACCCTAAGGGGAAAAGGACACTGCCAAACTTACTTGGGGGTGGGTCTTTTGCTCATGGTTTGTGTTATGAAACCTGTTTGTGGTGTTTCCCCAACATAATGCCGCATTGTTTCCTTCCTTTATTAAAAGGACTTTGCTACACTCAGACTCTGTGCTTGCGAGAGGGGAAGTATTGCCTCTTAGAGGCGCCCGGGGGTGGGGAGTTGGTATGTAATTGTCCCAGGTCACTGGGCTGGGGCTCAAGCCGGTTTAGCATTGTGTTATTGAAACGGAACCTCTAGATACTGAACCCGGCCCTTGTTGCTGCCAACTCAGATGGGCAAAAGGGTTACACTTGCTTCCAGCTAATCTCGTCAGTGTTTCAGATTAATCTGCCCTTCGTTGAACAGTAACCACAAGTAATCCAAATGTTACTTCGTATTTAAAAAAAAAAAAGATTGACCGAGCAAAAAATTCAATCACCTTTGCTGCATCATCCAGCCATGTATCTATTGTGTCACAGGCAGATCTCAGATCAGATTCACCAAATTCATATTTCTTGGACCAGCCCAGGGGAGCATATCGCAAACGTTCTTGAATGATGGCATGGAACCAGGCAAGGAGGAAATATAAACGAGCACGTTCGTTTGGAGACTAGGATGGGAAAAAGAAAATGCATTATTTCTCCACACTAAAACCAAAGTGATCAGAATTTATTAACAAAGAAACCAGGCTGGCTACAGTGCTGATGAATGTCAAATGTTTAGTAAGCACAGTATCTCCAGGTTTTAATGCATCAGATCACAAAAATCTTAACAGATTGCTTCCTTACATGCCATGCATGTTTTAGTCAGGGTAAAGTGAAAGCCTCTGAAAAGCTGGTTGCTTTACAGTAAACTAATGTTATGCCTTCTGATATTAACGTATGATAGACCAACTGAAAGCTATGAAGTTAAAAAGAAACTTTTATAAACAGTTTTCAGTTTTTGAGTTCCCCATAACTACACAGAAACCATCACCTCACCTTGCATATTCTAGAAACAGGAATACTACTGAATGTCCTCAGCATGTTCGCCTTTACACCAGGTGGAGGTTCAAACACAAAGATCCGACCAGCACGCAGCAAATTCACCGGCACCTAGGACAGAAGAGCATCAACACAAGTTATACCCCGAAGAATGCTCTCGTCTACGAGGAATGTGATATTTTGAACAAGTTTGTTAACCTACACTAAGTTTTTTATTGCAACAGAGTATCCTCCCTCTTGTAATAAGATGCCAAAACTACGAGCAGTATGGACTTAATTCATGTTAAAGTATGATTCTCATGTTGTAAGTACTAATGGCCAATTCCCATCCTTTCCTTTTCTTAGTAGAAAGTAGGAAGATGTAGGCAGCCTTTTCTTCCCTACGTAAGCAGGGAGACAGGATATTTACAAAGCACTTGACATTACTAGGAACAGGGTGAGCAATACCCTAGAAAGCACCAGGCAGGATTTTGGTGACATTTGTTCCTACTCCTGCAGATTCATTCCAAAATGCACCCTTTCCCCTGGCAAACTAAGGCCATCATGGGGAATGCTGCCCTAGTTGGTGGGATTCTTGTAACAGTGGACATTGGAACAGCACTACACACCACTTGCTGTGCCAGTCGAAGCCGAACTTGGTTTCAGTTACCTTGGGATTTATCTCCATTGTAAGGAAAAGTCTGAAGCAAGCATGAGGTTGTAAAGAATGCAGCTTCTTCTCTAGCTGCATCAACCAACCAGGAGCCAGATGGACATTCTTTAGCATCACCCACCTACAAGAATATGGTAACAGAACAGTAACTAACTTGTTATTCACAGTTCTACTGATATAAAAAGAGGGACAAAACATGCCTGCATAGGCGTGCACAGCACATTTCATTAGGGTGTGCACACAGGGAGCCCCGCCCTAGCCCCGCCCCCATCCACTCCCTCCTACTTCCCATCCCCTGACTGCCCCCCTCAGAATCCCCAACCCCCCAACTCCTTGTCCCCTGACCACCCCCTCCAGAGACCCCTCCACCCTAACAGCCCCCCCAGGACCCTCCTTGCTCCCTGTCCCCTGACTGCCCTGACCCCTATCCACCCTCCGCCCCCTGACAGACCCCGGGACTCCCATGCCCCATCCAACACCCCCTACTCCCTGACTGCCCCCTCCAGAGACCCCCCGCCCCTAACCACCCCCCCAGGATCCCACCCCCTATCCAACTCACCCTGCTCCCTGTCCCCTGACTGCCCCCACCCCCTATCCAACTCCCCCCGGACCCGGACCCCTTACCATGAGGCTCCTAGCAGCATGTTTGGCTCCGCGCAGAGCCAGACATGCTGCCCCGCGGGAGCTGGCAGCCCCGCCCCTCAGAATGCTGCGCGCGGCGGCATAACTCCCGATGAGCAGGGAGCATGTCTGCCTCCCCGCAGAGCCAAACACTGCCCCACGGGAGTGTGCAGCCCCGGCCCCCAGAGCGCTGCGCGCGCAGCAGCATGGCTCCAGGGGAGGGGGGGAAGGCGGGGGAGGGGCCCGCAACTTGCTGTGCTCAGCCAGGCGCTCCGGACCGGAAGCGCAGACCCCATGGCTTGCCACGCCGGGAAAGTGGGACCATTTTCCCACCCCTGCATTAGGGTGTGCCTGGGCACACCCCGTGCGCATGCCTATGCATACCTGCCAGATTTCACTGCTGTGTTTATTGCCTTATCTGCTTGATTAAATCCTTCAGCAGAGCCTACAAGCAGAAGGTTATGGTTAGCTCTAGAAACTTAATTGGCTTAAATTATATGTTTATATGAGGTGGTAAGAAATAAGACAAACATGATAATTATGCCTGGAACAATTTGCTTTTTTTAAATTAGTAAATGTTAATTTCACCATGCACACACACAAAAATGAAAAAGAAAATTTGAATCAACAATAAAAATTTACAGACAGCCAAACAAGAAAAATGCTGCTTGAAGACAGATTTAAGGATATTTACTTCGTATATTTTGACAAGTGATGTTGACAATTTGTGTTTATGGTGATAAAGCTTTAACTTTTTGAATCTCAATGTCTGTCATTAAATAAATTGTCTCCCCACCGTGATTTCCCTCCACTGAAAATTTTAAACCTTTACGTGTTCTTAAACCAAACATCAGCATCTGTCAAAAATTATAAAAAAAATGAAAGTCAAGTTCTGCCAAACCTAACGATAATGTATTCTTACCTATAGCAATAGAGGTAATCTGTGTGTTTTGTTCAGTGGCAAGATCTTCAACATGGTCACTGGCATCATAGCCAGGTACAGAACACATCAGTACAGGAGTATTAGGTTTCACCTACAATCCAAGACATTTAAACAAAACATTCACAATTGCCATAAGAATAAGCCATATTGATAATTATGCACCTCCCCCAAATCTGCGGGGGAAGATAAATTCCCTTCATCCCTTATGCTACTGTAATAAACTGTTCAGCATAGTTAGGTAAATTGGGTTATACTGCAATAGTTTTAGCTAAAAAATTTCCCTGGCACCTAACCCTCTTATTTACATTAATTCTTATGGGGAAATTAGTTTCGCTTAACATCGTTTCGCTTAAAGTCGTATTTTTCAGGAACATAACTACAACGTTAAGTGAGGAGTTACTGTACTGTTCTTTCAGTGCTGAAGCCTATAACGGACACCCATTTCCTCAAACTGAGGCAGAGCAGTCTGATGTGCCACCACCAACAGAGATTTATGCCCTCAATATGATGTCATGTTTTAAAGTATTTTCATTCCTATAATTTACCTCAGTATTTACAATGTGTGTCAGATCTAATGGCTGCTCCATAATAGACATAAAGGATTTGCCAAGGTTTGCTGAAACAAAGGCATGTGCCATGGCTAGCAGACGATCTGGACGGAATGCCTGGATCAAGAGTAAACGATGAATGGCCTGCCCAATAGGTGCTAAAATGAGAGAAAAAAAGTGTGTGTTATTTGTTCCTGAAGCTTAACAGATCATAACTCAACATTTTGATCTTTCCTTCCCAATCCTTGAACTGCGTTAATCAAATAATTGAAGAAAGAAAAGACTTAGCAAAACAACTACAGCTTTTAAAGACTGAGATGTAAGTTGCTAAATGCAGGACTCTAGATTGAAATTCACATAATGGTAATTGCTGTTAATCAATCTGACAATCAAAACTAACTCTGTCCCAAGAAGGTTATCTTAAACTGACCTAGGCATATCTATCAATGTGACTATTAGGCTTACACACAGTAGTACTCTTTTCAGGTTGCGAGCTCTTCAGTGTCTAGTACAAAAGTACCCTAATTTGATTAGGGCCTTTGGATGCTTCCGCAATGAGTTCATATACATAATCTAAAGCCTATAAAAGTGTTGCCATGAATTCTCTAGATATTTCAGGAAAGAAAAACGCTTTCCTGCAGCATCTGTAACTAAAGTGTGGCAATATTGTGTAATACATAACACATGAAGAATGCTAGACTATTAAGGCAAATAACTAAGCTGTTATTTGTAATAGAAAATTTTTAGCTTGACAGTATCCCTTGTTAAGATTTTGTCCAGATCTACTGACTGTTTAGCTATCATTGAAACCTATATGCTCCAGTGATAAAAGCACTACGGGAAATTAGTGTAGTTTATCTTATGCAAATTCTGATCCTATAGCCAAAGAGTTTTACAGCAGCTACTAAAAGTGAGCAACCTTTAGAAAAAAAGTTGGTTAGTAACAATTTATAGCTATTAGACAGCTGTGTCAAAGAAATACTCATTATAAATAGCTTATTTCAAACCAATTTTGCCTACAAGTGCTGTCCCATGTGATCTTACAGATGGGAAAGATTAAGCAAAAGAGTGGCAGTTTTCTTTTAATTTTTCTCCAATCCAGGGCTTTAGTTTCTTTCTAGCCACCTACAAATATCTACACTTAGCATGAACTGTTAATACAGAAGTTGAGGCGGGGGGGGGGGGGGGGAAAGAGGTAGCAATAGTTCTAGCAGGAGACCAGGCAAGGTCAGCAAAACTTGTAACAAGAGAGCCTTTTACAGAGGACTGTTACAGAGCACTGAGTTAGACCAGGCTGGCAATGACCAAAAGGCACAGATGCCCATTCAACGGTCTACGTACAGTGAATTGTAGGGTAGTTTGTTCCTGTTGCAGGGCACCACACTGACTACACTGGAACCAATTTTAACAGTGTTTTGAAGAGACACTTTGAATTTGCCTCTTTTACTTACGTTTGCAAGGAAACTGCACTCATGTAAAAATTCTGATACCAAGTAACTGACACCTTTTTGTGGGCAGTCTGAGGGTGATATCAAGACAATGCCCCATCTTGGGGCAAAGACCCCATGGGGTAGGGTAGAGTCAGGGACAGGCTGCACAGTCATTACTCATGCTGCAATTGTTTTGTGGATTAAAGACTTCCATTTTCAATCCTATCAAACTTGCAGTTTTCATAAGTGCTAAGTTCTAAGACTTCAATGAAGATCTATTCTAGTCAAGACTTAAATTGGTAGCAAGGCAATTGCCAGGGTAAAAGTGCAACTGAACTTACTTGCAGGTTTTTCTTCAGACCAAATGTATGGCACAGTCTGCTCTGGTGAACTGCTCTCCAACCAGATACAGAATTGCTGTATTGAAAGAAATATTAATTATGATGCATTTTACATGACACTTAGGATTCCATTCCAGCTGTAAGATCTTCAGAACAGGGACTTTCTATACACATATGGATACAGAGACTACCATTATAAGGTCTTGATACTGACGGGGGGGTTTACTGCAGCAAAAACCCCAACCAAAACTAAAAACATACTGCATTTTACTGAAGATACTGGAAGTCCACTTAGGTAAAATAAAACCCAATGCTTGAAACTATATACTAGTTTCTATAGAGAGGGGGAAGACTGTTCCCGCAGTTAGGGCACTAGCTAGGGAAAACCCAGGTTAGAATCCCTGCTCAAAGTCTTCCTGTGTAAACTTGGCAAGCCACTTAGTCTGTGGCTCACTTCCCAATTGTAAAACGGGAACAGGACTTCCCTACCTCATTGGAGTGTTGTGAGGTTAGCTACATGGTGAGGTACTCATACTATAGCAATGGGGGCCATGCAAGTACCCAACATAGGTCTAACCTAAATGTAGTGCAGTGACAGTGCTTAAGCAGGATACTTGCCTCATCAGCTTGAACCTTAGAAACCAGGTCCTTAAACTCAGGAAGGCAGCTCAATCTCATCATAGCTTCCATTTGTTCTGTTGTAAGTCCACTGATCTTTGGGAGAGATGCTGTGCTGAGTACAATTTCTTTTCCTCTTAAGAAATGTTGGAATTCTGCATCATATGTAGGCTCCCTTAAATTAAAAGTAAAGTACATTTTAGCCAAGTATCTGTCTTCAACTGAAGTAGTGGTTAACCTTAAGGCACCAAATACAAAGCTTTCATGTATGTAAATGGGAAAACTGAGATGCATCTCAAAAAGCAAAGATTCAAACATTTACCCAATTGTGCCTTTAAGTTTAATTCTGGCCAACAGCATAGCAAAGGTTATGTGATCCTGATGTAACATGCCACGAGCTACTCTATTGAAAGCCACCTAGTGAAACAAAATGTAATCGGTTAGTTGTATTATAAAGAGCCTTAATCAGATTTCCACAGGACAAGAATTTTTGCTAAGTACAATGTCTATGAAAATTCTATACTGAACCTGGAAGAGGTCTTTTGTGATGATTGAGAGACGCTGGGTATGGTCTGTAATTCCCTTCAAATTTGGGTTCTCATACAAGACATTATGATAGATGTCCAAGAAAAACTGGAGAGAATACTGGTATAAGAAGTGTATCTAAAGAG